CAATATTATTTGAATTATTTGTTGTTCCCCAAGCTACAAAGATTAACCAATAATACAGGAAACTGAAGTAAAATTACCCAAGCTATTTAGACATTTGAGGCGTTGTCTTTATGGTACATTCCTGCTGCTGCAAGATCCTGTTTAGCAACAGAAATCTGAGTTTTTACGGGGAGCAGAATCTGCCAAAGAAGAGGATGGTGTTAGTTTTATTGTGCCTGATGAAGAAGAGGAAAGGGTGATCTGCTGCAAACTGAATGGCAGAAATGAGACTTCGTGCTGGCATAGAAGCCGCACTGGCAGCTGCAGCCTCAGTGCCTTCTTCATTGATCTCCACAAAGCACTTGTGAAAAACATTTGACAAAACCAGATCATTTTTCTCAGTCATCCCTCTGAAATCAGCTCGGTTCTGACTGAAGGCATCTCGCATACCCATGCTGCTCAAAGTAGAGTTGAGGTCATAACTCTCTTCCATTTTGATCCTGGGCAGATACACGTCCACTTCAGTTTTCTCCATCATTTCTGAGCTGGTCCATCTGGATAATGTCTCATACATCAAGTCTCTTTCTAGCTACAGTTAGTTAAAAAAGAGAAAATCAAAAATTAACAATGAAAATTAAACTTCCTTAACTTTGATGTCCTTCACAATCCTGAATGGAGAAACTATAGAGATGGTTTATAAATATCGTGAAGATCACTGAAAAGCTTCTGGCTAGTTTACAGGTGTCTTCTCAACTGTAAAGCAGCGTGTTTTCTTACAGCAGGTTCGTGCAGTAACTGGAAGTTCGAACAGACTTTAAAGCCAGAAGGGATGATCATGATCATCTAGTCTGACGTCCCGCACATCACAACCCACAGAATCATACCCACCCGCTCCTGCAATAGACCCATAACCTCTGGCTGAGTTACTGAAGTCTTCAAACCTTGATTTAAAGATTTCATGCTACAGAGAATCCACCATTTACTGTCGTTCAGACCAGCAAGTGACACATGCTCCACACTGCAGAGGAAGGTGAATCCCCCCTGGGTCTCTGCCAAACTGACCTGGAGGAAAATTCCTTCCTGACCCCACAAAGTGAATACTTTCAGTGTTGAATATTTGTAGTGTAATAGCAGCAGAGTCCTGTTTTACATGATAGTACCCAGTTAATTTACTGTTGCATCTTTTGAGCCTCTGGCATTCTAGCTTATCCGCATGCAATCTACCAAAAAAGTATGATTGTTAATTAATTACACATATACCTAGTCACTATTTGTTAGCTGAGTTGTTCTAATATATATTTTTCCTTATTTAAAATATTGATTGTATGAAAATATATTTGGAAACCCGCCCACCTAGTATTTTTTCAAGAGGGGAGCTAGAAAGGAAAAAAGAGGGCATTTCCATCATCCCTTCTTGGAACTGATCCAGCGGAGCTTTGCCCCTTGCAAAACTCCAATTAAAGTTAATGGGAGTCTTGCCAGAGGAAGGGCACTGCCGGCTCTGGTGTCCTTACAGATTAGTGCTGGGAAACCTTCAAAAGATGTAGATATTTGTTTAGTATGAAGTGTTCCCATCGATCCTGGCTTTTTGTCAAGGATTCCTGTAGTCTCTGGTTTTGCTTAGGCTGGAAGAACTGCCTTTCTTGCAGGATTTTGGGGCTTCTGCTTCTCGGACTGGATGACAGTAAGAAGTGCAAAAAAGTGTTGGGTCTATGAAAATCTTGTCATAGGTCAATAAAGGCTCAGGTTCTCTGAGTGTTAGACAAGGTTTGGTCTGTCCTCATTTTTTCCTGAGCCAGATCTTTTCACCTGTTCCTAATACAAGAATGTAGCATCACCTACTCTCAGACAGCAGCCATATAGACATCTAGGATATAAAAACAATTGAATTCCACGTATGATTCATTTCTTTACCATTTCAAGGCCAGTGGTGTCATCGTTGATGCTATCTGGTAGCAGTATGAGCATGCTGAGGTCATCATTGACATATGGGAGCTCAACAATGTGGGTGTGCACTCTTTGTATGTAGGTCCAATTAAATTTCCCTCTCTGGATCATCATCTGCACTGGCTTAGTTGTATTCTGCAACAAGGCAAAGGAGAACAAATGTCACTTTTAAAGGATCAGGTGAAAACAATATAGTTAAGTATTAACGTTAATTTTTCCTGTGTTACTTATAATGAGTTAGGTTACTAAAAAGTGATACTTCACAGAACCAAATTATTTGTCACTATTTATGCTGATATTTCAACCTCTCAGTTTTGATACTGAGATTATGTCTGCACAGCAGTTTAAACCCAGGTTTGAGTCGGGGCTAAAGGCAACCCGCACTTGTGTCCACACTGTAAATGTGCTAATCCGAGGCTCAGACCTAGGGTCCCACGATCCTGCAGGGCTGGAGGGCCCCAGACAGTGTTTAACTGGGACCGAGCCCTGTTGGTTTCCTGTGTGCACACGGCCCTCACTTGACTCGGAACCCAGAAGTCCTCCAGATGTATCCCAGAGTTCCTAGTGCAAAGAAGCAGGCAGCGAAAGCAGTGGCTGGAAGTGCCATTACTGCCTGGCTGAGCCTGTTCCCACTTCCTTGCTGCTGCGTGGAGCTTGTCCGGAGCAGGGAGCAAAGCTGACAAGCAGGAGCTGGCTCCCAGTCACTGGGATGTTGGGGGTCATCCCTCCTTGGCTGTGCTGAGCCAACAGCTCTGTTGCTCCCCCTCCCTGCAGGGCAGTGCTTGATCCCAATCTGCTCTCTGTCCTTTGCTCCGAAGTCCCCCCGCCCTCCCTGGAGCTGCGTCTGCAGGGGTGCAGCAAGCACTGTGAGGGTGGTGAGTGGGAGCTAGCCCCAAAACTTTCTCACAGCCCCCTGGGGATCCTCGATCCCTGCCTCCCGGGGTGCAGCGGGTGCAGGGATAAGGAATCCCCACAGGGTGCTGGAGCACACTGCACCCCGGCCATGGGGGTGCACTTCACCACTCCACAGCTGGCAGCAGCCAGGCTTGGGGTGGGGGGGAGGAGGGGATTTCTCTTCAGGTACCTTCATTTTATGTCAAACTTCAAAACAAACAGACAAGAATAAATAAAAACGCAACCAAAAAAAAAAAAACACCTTCACTGAGCTTCTCATTTTAAAAAGTAAGAATTGAAAAGTTTCATTTCAATAGTTTGACAGCCCTGGAGACCTATATCCTTATTCTCCTCAGTACAGGTGCACTTGGGCATTTTCCTGCCAATGTAACTCGGCCTAGAGCTGGAGAGCACAATTCTGAGATTAGAAGATAGTTCAGTAAAAGCCTTCTCAGACTGCAGTCATTCTACGGAGACAGCCACCAAAGGAGCTCATTATGCAGTTTATGTATCCTGTGCGCCTGTGGGCACCTGAGTCCCATCGGTAGCAGTTGTAACCCTCACAGTTAGGAAGCAGGGTGGGCAATAGGCTACAGTGTCAACATTGGAGGGTGGGGGGCACTAGGCACTTTGGAATATGTTTACTTTGACTCTGGTCTCTGCACTGCAGTGTGGATGCCAGAGCCCTAGGTTCAAGCACTGATCAGAAACTTCTTAATCTAGGGTTAAAATGCAATGTAGACACTCAAGCCCAGGGTTCCCGGACACAGGTGAGCTGACTTAAGTCCCACTAACTCTAGGTGGACATTGCTGTGTAGACAGCCTGAGAACAGATCTGAACCCTAAGTTTCACTTCTGTGTATTGTCAGTTCCTCTGTTGGTTGCACTGAGTGCGCTGTTTGAATTGCAGATACTGCAGGGGAATGCTTATGATTTAATTAAAACAACTCTGACACCCTGAGGATTTAGAGACTGGCAGGCTTGTGAAAATGGAGGGATTGAGGTCTCTCCCTAACTTTTCTCTCTGTTCCAGCCCACTAGCATTTATGACATTTCATGGCTTAGTCACATACCTTGTTCATTCTGAAAGGTTGTTCCTTTGTAAATCCATCCTTAAATTTCTTTGCCCAGTTTCCTTTGAAGTAGAGGGCATTGACTAGGACCAGCTTGGTGAGTGAATCAACAGAGTTGACAGGCAATAGCGCTTGGATTTTACCTTTAGGAAATAGTGACACAGTCATATATTTGTGCAGCTTTTCTGCTTGGAGCAAATGTAGGAATTGAGTTTTGGAATATATGCTATTGAGACCATACTTGTAGAGCAGCTTTCTGTCTTAAGAGACTATTGTGAAATATCCTCAAACACTGGGCTGGGCTCTGTGGTCCCCTTCAGTGACTTTGCTCTACTCAGGCTTCCTCTTGCTAGTAATAACCCTGAGTGATAATCTTAAGCTACGTTCCTCTCACGGACAGAGAAAGAAGACTGAAGAAAAAAGGAAGAGGTGGGGATGTGTCAAAATACAAAAAATCCAGTGTCGCCTCCAAGAGAGGAAACTAATTTTGTGTGAGGCTCATAGATAAAAGTACAGTATAAAGATATAAGAGGCTCAGAGTTTATCGCACTGGCTGCAGAACCTTAACCTGGTGCTGAAACATCTTCACCCCTTTCTATTTTTGGAGGAGAAAAGGCCTACAAACCCCTCTGAGGAATTTCAGCATAATGTACTCTGTCATACTGTTTCAGGACACTGTTTATAACAGGAAATGAACCTCTCTACATGGAATCCCATCAAAATGAAACACATTTTGCTATGTCAGTATAAGTATTTGTATCAGGCCCAACACTGTGGTATCTTATTGCCTTCAAACACATGAAGGTTAAATTGTTATCATAATATTTGTGCAACTGGAAAGCAGTAGTCATCAGTGTTTTCTTTTGTGGTGCGAGTAGTGTTATAACTGAAAGGAGATGTCATTTTGGATTTGGTGTTATTGAACTTTCAAATGTAGTTATCTGCCTGCCTCCAACTGGGGCAGTGAGGCAGCAGCCATTTTGTGTTTCAGTTCAAATGCAGACTGTAACACAATGAATCAACATTTTCTCTCTCCCCTCAAACAATTTAGGGTGGGAAAATACACGATGTCTCTTTGTAAATGGTGAAAGAACAGTCCTGAGCTCACCTTCGGTCTGGCGTTCAACACTGGAATTGATCTCTCTTCTGACTTCTGCTGCTGCTCCCATGAAATCAACGGCTCGTGGCTCTGTGTGGTAATATTTTTTAATCGATTGTAAATATTCCTTCAAGGCAAGAGAGAGACAAGTCTTACATATTATTTGGCAATATATCTATGCCAACTACTGCCAAATAGAAAAGAGAGTTCATGTTATGACACAGTTTACTAGGAGCATAAAGCTCTGTCTTCACAGAAGCAAAATATTTTTAGTTATATATGTTATCAATCATTTATGAATGTTCATGTTTAGATACAGTCCAGTCCAGAAAAGCAGATTTAAAAAAGCCTGTAATCTTGATATGAGTATCTACAAAGAGTCAGTGGGAAATAAATCTTAAAGGATAATAAACCATTCTGCAGATGTAATTGAAATATTTGCATTTAGGTCTTGTATGGTTTGTTGTCCTAGACCAATCATAAAGATGAATTGTATCCCCATTACACAGATAGATGAACTGCTTCACTTACTTTATTGAAAGGTGATGATTTCTCTCCATATAACTGGTTGACACTTTTAAGCAGGTAATTTTTAGTGGGTTGGTTAATTTCAGAGCTAAGTGCCTGAAACCCTACATGGATGTTGCTTGAGTTCTCCAGATTGGCCTTGAAAGAAGGAAGAAATATTCTGGTTATTTATCTGCGATTTCTAGGGCAAGTGATTCAGAACTTCTAATATCATATATTGCACATAGCTCCACTGGTGACAGTTGCATGTAATATCCTGTACAGTTACTGAAGTAATTTTTTGTGAACTGTGTGTTGATATGAATGAGGGGCACTAAACCCATCAGTAAAATCTCCAGACAGTGGACACACCATAGACACTGTGTGAGCAAGAGGGAGCTCTGTAATACACTGAAATATAAAGTTATCTAGAGAGATTATTAAAAAACAAAGCATACTCACAGAGACAGTAACAGTACAGTTTCTGCACAGTGCATGGAGACTTAGCTATATGATGCCCATTAGCATTTATGAAAGTCACATAACCAAAAATTCCCATATATCACATTGAAAGTTTGCCCCAAAATGTGTAGAACTAGTGATTCCAATATTGGCGGATATTGTTAGTTTGAAAACTGTTTGCATTGCTGCACATGAAGCAAGTAAAATTATGATGTCAACTTATTTAAGGAAGTTAAGCAGGGAGTCAGTAATTTGGGGCACAGTTTTGCAAGGTACTTACTACCTATGGGAGTTAAGAATAAATGAAGATAAGAATAGTCACACTGGATCAGAGCAATAATCTGTCTAGCCCAGTATCCTGTCTTCTGACAGTGGCCAGTGCCAGATGCTTCAGAAGGACTGAACAGAATTTATTGAGTGATCCATCACCTTTCATTCAGTACCAGCTTCTGGTAGTCAGAGGTTTAGGGAAACCCAGAGCATGGGGTCACGTCCCTTACCATCTTGGCTAACTGCCATTGATGGACCTATCCTCTATCCTCCATGAAGTTATCTAATTCTTTTTTGAACCCAGTTATATTTTTGGCCTTCACAACATCCCCTGGCAACAAGTTCCGCAGGTTGACTGTGTGCTGTATAAAGAAGTACTTCCTTATGTTTGCTTTAAACCTGCTGCATATTAATATCATTGGGTCACTCCTGGTTCTTGGGATCTGTGAAGGGGTAAACAACATTTCCTTATTCACTTTCTCCATACCATTCATGATTTTAAGGGCCTTTATCATATCCCCCCTCAGCCATCTCTTTTCCAAGATGAACTGTCTCTGTCTTTTTAATCTCCCCTTTTATAGAAGCTGTTCCATACCCTTAAGCATTTGTGTTGCTCTTCTCTGTGGCATTTCTGGCATTATGTAATTTCCTTTCTTATTATCTATCCTATTCCTACTGGTTTCTAACATTGTTTTTTCACTGTCTCTACACACTGAGCAGATATTTTCAGAGAACTAGCCACAGTGTCACTAAGATCCCTTTCTTGAGTGATAACAGCTATTTTAGACACCATAATTTTGTATGTATACCTGGGATTAGTTTTCTGATGTGCATTACTTTGCATTTCTCAACATTGAATTTCATCTGCCATTTTCTTGCCCAGTCACCCAGTTTTGTGAGATCCTTTTGTAATTCTTTGCAGTCAGCTTTGAACTTAATTATCTTGAGTAATTTTTATCATCTGCAAACTCACTGTTCCCCCCCCTCAGATCATTTATAAATATGTTGAACAGCACTGGTCACAGTACAGATCCTCAGGTGACCCCGCTATTTACCTCTCTCCACTGTGAAAACTGTTTATTCCTACCCTTCATTTCCTGTCTTTTTAACCAGTTACTGTTTCATGAGAGAACCTTCCTTCTTATCCCGTGGCTGCTTACTTTGCTTAAGAGCCTTTGCTGAGCGACCTTGTCAAAGGCTTTCTGAGAGTCCAAGTATACTATATCCATTGGATAACCCTTATCAACATGTTGTTGACCCCTCAAAGAATTCTAATAGATTGGTGAGGCATGATTTCCCTTTACAAAAGCTGTGTTGACTCTTACAACATATTGTGTCTGACCATTCTGTTTTTTACTATAATTTCAACCAATTGGCTTGGTACTGAAGTTAGGTTTACCAGTCTGTAATTGCCAGGATCGCCTCTGGAGTCTTTTTAAAAAATGATGTTGAGGGAAAAGTACAGGAAATACAATCCATTAAACTTACTATAGAAAATAAATTAGAGAAATAAAGATCGTATCAACGTTCAAAAACTGCAATGTGGCTCAGAATTTGGGAGCATAGTACATTCATGTCCTACAAGCACATGACAATGAAGGATGTATGAAACAATTTTAAATTTCTAAACACTCAGAAAGTTCCCTCAGCCCCACCTGCAGCATTTCCATAACCTCAAAACAATGATAAGCCGTTGCAAACGGTATGAGCTATGATTGCTAACAGATAGGGAGCAGTTAGATCTAGACACTGGGCTTTATGCCAGTCTGTATGGTGAGCTCCTACTGGCAGAAAGTAAACCCCTTCTCCGCCAGTGAGGGCTTTGGTGTTGTTGTTGGTGGTGGTGTTGGCCAGGAAGAGTTTGGCTGTCAAATGCGCTGATTAATTAACACCCTTGACCATCATCTGCTGTCAGGACTTCTGTATAGCCAGCCACACTTTAAAGGTGCTAAACTGTAGGGTAGGGAGTTAGTGAAAAGACCATCTTTCCTCCACCATGGGGGAGTCCTACCAGAGATGCAGCAGTCCCTATTGGAACAGGGGGTTGTGATTTGCTCTCCCTTACACCAAAAATGATGAATCAAGCACACTATAATGACTATAAAGGACTTGTCAGGGTGCCATAGAAATATACTCTAACTTGATTTTGTATGCCCATTTACACCCAGCACAATAAGTTGATCTATATCAGAACATTTCAGCACAGCAGTGTATTTCTTTAGCATTGTCATGGGGAAAATCTCTCCCTCTCAAAATCTCACACGCATGTCTCTTGTATGAGCCAATAATATCTTAATTTCACCCAGCACTGCATTTACATGTGTGAGAGCAGCCCTGGTGCTGTTGTAAGCAGGGATCATGTCTTTAAGAGTGCAGAACACACTTCAATATTCAATTACTAGAAATTTAACAAAAACAAGAAAGGGAAAACCCACAAATTAAAAAAAGAGAAAGGCAAAGAAACACAGAGAATGGTTGCAACTCTGCAGAGTCCCTCAAATGAGGAAATACAAGTCACACCTTTTGCAATTTACATAAAAGAGAAGGGTTTCTCTCTTGTTGTATCAGGGACAATATTACAGGAGGAAACCTCTCAGAATACTGTACTCATTCATTGTGTACATTTAACAGGAGAAAGGCAAACCAAAGTGAATTCAAACATGGAAGGAAAGGCAGTCTAAAAAAGAAGGGAACATGCCTATAACCTGGACACCTTCGACATGTGTTTTGGTGAGTTACCTTTTTAACACTGATACACGGATTTGATAGAAGCTCCTCCATTTTGGAATAGGCTCGTCGTGGTTTTATGGTTGTGATGTCAACTCCAGTTCCTCCAACTTTGTTAAAGTGAAGAACCTACAATGAGAATTGCAAACAGAATAGATGCAGTGAGAGATAGATCACTGCACATGTAAGATCTTATGGTTAAAGCAGAAGACTTGTGGTCAGCAGACCTGGATCTTGGTTCTGTTCTTGCCTCTGCCCCTGACTTGTTGTGTGGTCTTAGGCTAGTCACTTAGGGTATGGCTAGACAGTAGTTAAACACCTGTGGCTGGTGGGGTCAGCTGACTTAGGCTTGCAGAGCTTGGGTTGCAGGACTGTAAAATTGTGGTGTAGGCATTGGGGCTTGGGCTGGAGCCTGAGCTCTGGGAGGATCCCTGTGAGGGGGAAGGATCCCAGAGCGTGGGCGCCAGTCCGAGCTTGAACGGATCTTTTATTCCAGTTTCTGCCTGACTTAATAGTGTGTGGAATACTACCTCTGGCCCTCCGATGAGCATGCTATAAACGCACCACAGCTACCAACTTTCTAGAAACCAGAAATATAGCAGCAGCATACAAAATGTGTAACAGCAAGCTAACATATGTGTGGGTCAGTGAAGTGCTATGCAGCATTGGGTTGGGGGGGTTAAGCCTTAGAGCCAGGAGCAGATGGTTTAAGGGGAATGAGGTAGATTTGGTGAAAGGGGTCATTGGCCTCAGGGGCAGAGGAGGGGGGAGTGTCTATGTCTGAGCTACGTGGAGTCTGTGGGGAGGTCCTTGCCCCTTGTAGGAGGGAGGGTTGGGAAGGCAGGCCTCTCAGAGGTGGAGGGAGGGGGCAGAACTTTAAGCACAGTGACAGGGCAGTGCACCTCAAAGACTGCAGCTTGGTGTACCTGTCTCTCTCTAGGATCCCAGCCACAGTCCTCTTGTAATAATTGGGCCTCCCAAATTATCCTAATTGTGAGCTCAACTGTGAAAAGTGAGTGAGAGCTTGTAAAGTGTCACAATAACCTATAACAATAGAATTTGATAGGAAAAGTTGCAAAAGGGAGACAGATTGAATTAGTCCCAACAAAAAGACCCACTCCTGCAAGTCAAGGACTGTGTTAAGATCATGCCTCGAAAACAAGAAAAGTGGGGACTGGAAATCAGTGGACCAAAAGTGGCGTGTCAGATATTAGGCTAACTGTCAAACAAAATAATGAGGGATGGGGCATAGACGACTCATGCCTGATGAGGGGGGCACATGACCACTCCACGCATTGCCTCTGGGAAGAACTTCAAGCCCCACCTCCCTGGGCCAGGGCAGCCAATCCTGCCAGCTCCTGGGAGTCTCGGGACACAGGAACAGGGAGCATGAGTTGGAGTCCTGCCCTTCCCTCTCCCCATCATGTTTCTGGCTCACTTGGCTCCTGTCCCCGTTAGCCAGGCCCGGGCAGGAAGCGGAGTCGGGGGGGGGGGGCTGCTGCTGCCACCGCCTCCCCAGCTGGGTTTTCAGGCAGACAGTGATCCTGAGTGGAGTCAGCTGGCATGAGAAGTGGCTCCATCCCATCCCCTCAGCTCCCTGCCTGGCCTGGGCTTTGTGCGGGAGGAGCCGAACGAGCTGGAAGTGCCCAGGGAGAGGCACAGAAAGAGAAGGACAGAGCCACCCTCCCTTGGCGGCAGGCCAAACAAAGCAAGCCCTGCATGGGAAGCTTGGCACTCGCTGAACCAGGGCAGGTGCCCCCTGCGTGCCCTCTGTGTGCCCCCGCCCCCTGCTATGCTTCACCTATGGGATGGGGTAGTCCACCCTTCACTCCCTCTTGGGGTTCTTAAAGAAAAGAGCCTTTGGGACTGGGAGGAGAAGGCAGATGGATGTGATCGCTGACTGACTGAAAGGAAAGAGAAGGGGAGGGAGTGAATGTCACCATCACAGCTGCCACCCCTCTGTCTCCTGGGACCCCAGGATCTAACATGGCACCATTGCACCTTTTTCTTCCTATTCCTGAGAGATGTCCTGACCAGACTGGGCCAAGAAAGAGGGATCCAAGTGACCTCACCACCTCCACTGTCTCCTGCTGAATCCCAAACACCACCTAAGATTTAAGACTGTCTCTTTCTCACCCCTTGCCCCATTCACACTCTTTTTATGTCCTTTTCCTTCCCCACCTTATTTCTTCTCTGACCAGCCAGGACTGCATGTTTTGCAACACTGCTTTAAGCCTGAGGCCAGAAAGGCAGCTAAAAACCAAGCCCAAAACAGCCTGATACTTGTACAATTTTTCCTGGTCTCCAAGTAGCTGACAAGATCATGTGCTGTGCCTGTGTTTCTCCAGCAGTAAGGTTTCAAGTGAGAGTCAAAGCCAGAGACAGTAGCTGCATTTTCTATCTTTGCTGTTCTTTTCTTTCCCCTTTTGTATGTTTGTGTCTTGTTTTGCCTTCTAGGAAAGACGATTATGCTTTAACAACAACAGCAACAATGACAATTCCAGCTTATTTCAGCACACTTCTTCCCTTGTCCCCAGACGGACAGTTAGGACATGTCTCCACTGCTATGATCGCTCTCCCATCAACTCAGGCACTCCACCAGAATGAGAAGATTAATGTAAATTGACCAGAGAGTGGAGCCAGCCGACCCAGTGTGGCGTAGACACTGCCGTGAGTCGACCTAAGGTACGTCAACTCCAGCTACGTTATTCACATAGCTGGAGTTGCGTAACTTAGGTTGACTTACCCCCTGTAGTGTAGACAAGGCCTTAATGTCATCTTTAACACCATCTAAAAGGCTGTCGGACTAGGGGAGGTTTTCTCTTCAGCTAAGGGAAAGAGAACAAGGGATGTTGTTAAAAATAAAAGCCTTTTTAAATATATTAACTATTGTTCCTTCTTTTCTGTATCTTTAATAAAAGGTTTAAAGGAGTTTTAATGGTGTGTTTGCCATGGTACCAAGCTGGCTGTGGTCTCTCTATACCAATCTCCCAACCTTGTTTTAAATTGTTTGATGTTGGACAGCGACAGAACTGTGTTAACAAATTTGACTTTTGGCCCCTATATTCCATCTAAATTAATACAGCAGTCCCTCACCCACACCAATAAGCACCAGCTGTGGTACAAAGCATGTTCTCAATAGTAGCAGCATTGCTCAAAAGCTGACATTCTCTGTAGTCCCAACTCACCTCTGCCATCTGATCTGCAGTGTTACCTTTGGCTCCGAGGTACACAGTGGCCAGGGTAGTTGAAATACTCCAAGGGGAAAACAAGATATTTGTGTTGGTTTGTGTCTTACACTCATGTTTGAAAAGATCGAGGGCAAAACCAGTGTTTGCCACATTCAGAGCTGCCATTATTTGAAACCTGGAAAGTGAGAGAAAAGAAAATACATCTTCAGCTGGCAGCTCATTGCATAATACTGGTGATTTCTGCCCAACCCTATTTCCTACTGAAGAAACTAAAGTGGATTGAAAGTTTCTCGGGTGCAGCTACCCTGAGAGCTAGGCTTTTCAGTGCAGACAGCTAAATAGTCATTTGGACCTTAGTATGTGCCACATGTCTGTGTTAAAACACATTTCCCTCACTTTAGTTATTTCATAGAGACCCTTTTACAGTATGTTTGAAGCTTTTTCTTTTCAAAAGGCCTCTGATAGAATATATTGATTCTACTTATAGGTGTGACCCGAAGATACCTTGTGGCAATGAGTTCTGCAGGCTTATTACATATTGCGTTAAGTATTTTGTTTTGAACTGAAGGCTGCTCTAGGAGTTGAAGGAACACATTTAAGCCGCTCAGGAGTCTACGGGCTGCTCACTTCAACCATCTGCTATCTGTTATTCATGGTGTATGATTGGCCATCTAAATTGCATGTAATTTTCTACTTCTTGATTACACAGTGTATAGTGAATACTCTTGCTCACCTGTGAAATAGGTAGATGCACACAGAACAGCTCCTTTTTTATAACAGAAGAAAGAAGGAGAACTAAATGAAACTGAATGGTAATAAATTTAAAGCAATAAAGGAAAAAGCTTTAAACAATGCAGAAAATTACCCATGGTATTCATTACCACAGGTACCATTGAGTTATCAAGAACTTAGTAGGATTCAAGAGAAAATTAGATGGTTAATGGCTAATGAGAACATTAAATAGTTATTTTAGCTATGATACAAATATTATAAGGGTTCATTGCATATGCCTGCAACTAACTGTGTTAGGCAGAAGCTTCCTCAATTGTAAGCTATTCCATAGTTGGCCACCGTGGGACTTCTTGCACCTTCCTCTGGTATTAGCCACGACTAGAGACAGGATACTAAACTAAATGAACCATTGATACAATTGTTTATGGCAATTCCAATGTTCCTGTTTGTGCAAACAAAAGCCCTTTGACTTGCAAGTTTGTAAAGAGTGAATAAATCAGAAAAAAAAAAACATGGTCAAATTGATCATCCATTCAGAAAACATACAAATGTTTTTGAACACTTTGCTATATTCAGTGAGCTAGACTGCGAACTACTATATGTCAAATACCATGTATTCCTTTCTTGTCTTTCAAAAAGCTCCTGAAATCCTATCCCTTCTGTGAAACATTCTAGCTGTAACAATCTGTGGTCACTCTGACTTTATTCAGTATTTTATTTTTCTGCATGGTACTTATGCATGTCATTAGATTTCCAGCTCTTCAGGGCAAGGATTCCTTTTGGGGTGTTTGTGGGGAGGAGGTAGATTACAAATATACGCACTATTATTATTTATATTACCCTTCGCAGCCCCAGATATGGAGCAGGACCGGATTGAGCTAGGTAAAGCACAGATACTGAAGAAGACAGTCCAGACCCCAGACAGTTTCCAATCTAAGTACTATTTTGATGTAAATAATAACACTAGAATACAGTAACTTTAATATATACACAGGTCCATACTCTATCCTGATTAACACATCACTCAGTGAAGTTGCATAAAATGTAAGTAGGCTTGGAAGGATTAGATTTTTATCGGTAAACATTGATTTCACCGTACACACAAACTGATGAAAAAAATATTTCCATCAATCATAATCAAAATTACACATACTCAAAGAAAGAAAAATGCTCCTTGGGAACATATTAATGATTTATACTTTTGAATTAGGCTTGTTACAAATGAACTACAAAATGAATAGTAAAAATAAGTATGGTTTGTTGATTTATTTATTAAGAATATTTAATTTGTATATTTTGATATTAACAGTTTGTGTATTTAACAGTTTAGAAAGCTTTAACATTTGAGTCTCAACATCTACTGTCATGAAACAATCGTCTGACACACACACACACACACACACCAATGTTACTCAACAGTGACAATTTAAATCCATACAATTCTGAAAAATAGACATTTATCCAGCAAAAATTTTTAAAAAATCCAAATTCTGCCAAGTCTAAATGTAAGTCACAACAGAATTTGACCTTCTTGTTTATTTTTCTGTAAGAGATTAAAGTTAATTCTCTCTTCTAGACAGTGTCTGCTGTCTCGTTAAAATATGTTCCTTATTACTTTGCTTCCATGCAAAGCCCCTCCATGTATACTTTCTATGCATTTACTAACACCACAGCATATCCATGAGAATGAAAATGTGGAACCTATAGAAGTAATTACAATACCTTGTTTTGCTCGAGGATGAAGTCTTGCACTCAGCTTCTTTCTTGGGTTTGCTACAATTCACACACATGGTACGCTGAATATATAGTGTTTCTTTCACCCCTCCCACAGAAAGATTTCCAATGACTCAGAATGTTGCAGTTTAGTTTTGCCAAAAGGGAATATCTCTATGGAAGCACTGAACCATCCCATGAAAGCTGGATGTAAAGGGATGGTGGGAATGATCTCATGTATGGGACTGGCTGCCACATTTTTACTACAGGCATTTCATGGGAACAGGCTAGTAATAACTTGAACCAGCACTACTTGAAACAACTGTTGCTTTGTAATGTGTCGATTTTCACACAATGCAATATCTGATTGCTTTCTCCCATGAGGTCATCAGTTAATGACCTGCAAGGGAGGGAGATGGAGAAAGGCCTTGTGACCCTTTTACTGCTCCATAATGTATGCAAAATACATGGGAGGGTGTATGTCACGGGGTTCAGGGGAATATATATATTATATAATATTTATAATATAATTATATAATATTTGCTTTTTCGTATTAGGTACTCAGGTCTTGTCTACCTATTACAAGTGTAGAACTAGAGAAATTATAACATTACAAGAGAGACAGGGGTCAGAGGGTTGCTGAACAGACAGGGATTTTTCATCTGACTCCCCCGTGATTTAAATAGAACAGTTCTCTCTGAGACCTTGCTGGCTACTCCTATGAGCTGTGCTAAGTTACTTCATCACTTTGGACGTCCATGCAACTTTAACAACCAACAAGATGGTGACATCCTTCCCCAGGCTAATTCCACAGAAAGCGTGAGGCCATGTCACACTGCGCCACTGCAGAGCATCTTATGAAGATGCTTTATGCTGCCGGGAGAGAGCGCTCCCATCGCCATAAAAAAAACCCCACCTCCATGAGCAGCAGCAGTTCTCCCACTTCATAGCACTGTGCCCGTAAGTGCTTATATCGATGTAACTTGGGTAGCTCCGGGGGTGGAATATTCACACCCCTGAGCGACATAATTTTGCTGACATAGGATATGTCTACACTACAGCCTATGTTAAAGCAAAGGCTGCTCTTTACCAATAACTGTTATTAGCCAAAGTGGATGAATAGTATCTAACTTAAAATTCTGTAGACGCAGCAATATTCACTTACCAGGCACTGAATCAATGTAGGTAATTCTGCTGTATATAGGATTTCAAGCTTTGGTGTCCAGGTTGTTTCTATTTTGACTTCCTCACAATGAGCATAGCATAGGAGGGGGCTCTGTTAGCCTCAGGTGCTGGGGGACTGGTTTGCACTTTGGAAAGTTATAATTATAACCTGTTTTTGTCTGTCATTTAAGAGACTTAATTTGGCTTGAATCATCTAGGAAAGCCTTCCCCATTCATTAGGTGAATGACAGATGTACCGGGCCCGTTTCACCCCGTAGCATAATCAGTGGTGTTAGAGTGAGGATGTTAGATCTTGGGAAATGGTTGTGTTGCACTGTACACGCACGTGCAGTATAAGGTTAAATTAAAGACTTCTGTGGTTATTCAATATATGGTAATTTCTAAGTAGCCCAATATTTTTAAAGCTGTCTTCTCTTAAATCCTATTCTCTTGTGACATTTAATCTAGAAGAAGTGCATATATTTTACACAAAATTACACTTAAAAGGACAATATACATTAAATCAGTGTGATGGGATGAGAGAGAGCAATAAAAAACCATCCTCAAGTTCTTCCATTTACTGAGGTTCTCCAAGGAAAACACAAAAGGGAGTAGAAAGCGTGCTGGTGATTTGGTAATTGAGGTACTCTTTCTTTTAAACTAATGCTAACTTAAGGCACCAGCATGTTGTTAGGAGACACTGGGTTGGTGGTGCTATCTTTCTGAAGGGATGTAAATGTGAGGCATTGTCCGCTGTGGTCATTCAAGCTTCCTTTGTACTCTGTGCAGGACTAATGTTGACCATTTCAGTGATCTGGCAAGTTTCCATTTGTGTAATGGCATTCTGCCTACGTCTCTTCCTCCTGCAATTAATTCAGTATTTTTCTTCACTTATTTTTCTAAACTGGTTAGTGTTTCTCTCTCTCTAATTAAAGAGATACAAGTTTCTTTCCAAAATTGAGGCAACAATGCATCTTCTATTATAAGTATTCTTCTCTTGCTCCCTTGTGAGTCTTGTTCAACTTTTTCAGATTGCTCAGGG